AAAAATTGACTTTAAATTAATTAATTAACTAATTAAAATTATTTTATGTGTCAATAATGTTGAAATAAATATCAAGTTTTATAATTTTTTTTATAAATTAATTATAAAAAATTATATTTATTATATTTTTAATTTGTATATTTAAAATACCAATTAGATAAATATTATATTAATTTTGAAATTCCACCCAATGAAGACGTAAGGCATGGAGGAAAGCGCTGAGGGTCTCCATCATGAGTAATATAAAAGCAGTTGCAAAGGCAAAAACTGCTAGACCCAGTAACCCAATGACAATGTTATCATACCTGTCAGAGTTATCATATGAGGTGTCATTACTAATGGAACACACAAGATAATGTGCAAGAAAACAGGAGCCCTCGAACTCAACTTGAGCTCATTACTATAGAGTACTGAGCTACTTGGATCAGTTTGGTACATTTACAGCCCTAGCATAGCAATAGCTGGACATTTTTTCTTAGTCGTGAAAATTGCAATGTTAGAATGTTAGAGATTTTATTTTCTTTAAGCGCCTATATGTGGTGGACCCTTTTTCCACAGAATCAAATAATGAAGGACAAAAACCTGAAAAGATACAGGAATCAAACCCCACGAAATATGAAGAGAAAAAACTCACCCCCAAGCAAGTAGTAGGACTTTCTCATAGAAGACAGTTGATAGTTCAGAGTGTGCCAAGCTGTCAAATATCAAAGATTGAGTGAAATATTCCTAAATAAGAAAATACAAAACTTTTTACAGAGAGAACTTATTGCTTTACCTTAAAGCCCAAAGACGAAGGTAGGATGCTGTGTTTGAGACTGCTCCTAAAACAAACTCTATGGAGTGTATCATTTGATGCACAAAAACCTCACTAAAATTAAATTCTTCATGATGTTGTCTTGCAGAATCAGGTTCCACATCAATATCCATCTCCGAGGCACCAAGCATCCTATAGGTGCGACCTTGAAATCTCTAAAAATATAGAAGGAAATTCATATTTTTAAGCTAACAAAGCCATTTGTGCAAACTCTACTAAATTGTTGACCAAAAAATAACCTTCAATAAATTCATTCTTACACAAGACAACTCGACTTACTACAATACCAGAAAGCAGTAGAAAAAGGCAAAAACAATTTCCTTAGGGAAAATATTGCTTGTTAAATGTTTGCTAAATGTATTTGTAATCTCACATAAAAACTTGTTACTTCATTGCCTTGAACATGCCCTGTTTGAAATAAGTCCACACCAGGTGTAGTTTGATCATCACACAGACACATTCAAAACTTGTTGGTAATGCTCAAAAAATATTTATTAAAAAAAAGAAAAAAAAGAGAAGATGCTTTTAACAAAGAACAGTAGCAAGGATTATCAATCTGAGCACCTCAGAGTGAAACTTCTTTAAAATGAAAGGTTTAGGAAGAAGCATCCAGGGAACTGCAACTATAGCCAGAAGCAATAATAGGATCTGCAGAAAGACAAGAGCCAATTGACCATAAAGAAAAATTGAAAGAGAATGCAGTTTAACTGAAAAAAAAAAGGGGAAGAAGAAGAAGAAGAAGAAGAAGAAGAAGAAAGAAAGAAGGCATACCTGAAGTGGTCTCTGACCCCAGAATAACTGATTATCACCAAGATCATCGGTTGGACTCAAAAACATGTAAATCATTACATGATAAAGGTCTGCCTGAAAACCAGTGCACCACTTGATAATGATGAGAAGAGAAAGATATCCAAAAAGGCAGTTAAGGAAGATCATCTGTGGCACAAATTGATACCTAATAAAAATATGCATGTTAATGTCCAGTGTAATCTACTTCACAGTCAAAAAGAAATGAGGCAACTAGATGGAAGACTCACCAAATATCCAGAGAGCTTCCAAAAAAGTGTGCATTGAAATAACTTAATATGATTCCTAGGTTCATCTGAGCCACACCCAGTAAAATTGACATTTTCATCTTAAGAGAATTTAGAAAAGGCAACTCCGAGCGACTGCCACACCAGCTAGGATCAACACCAAATGGGTATGGATCTCGATATTTAACTAAACCAACCGTGTGTGCATCACTGATGGAGCAATTGAAATTGTCAGACATTTTAGAGATAGGAAGGAAAAGGAGAAAATAGTCCAAAGTTAAACACTTAGTAAAAAGAATTAGAAGCTTTTATGGTCTAGTAAAGTGGAGGTAAAGAAGAGATTTGGTACAAATAAGTACAAAACCTTTCAAAAAAATTTAATTAAGGATATAACCTTTTTTCTTTACTAATTAAGGCTATCACCTTTCAAAAGTTTCAAATTAAGGATATAATCTTTGCAATTTTTCTGATCAGCACCACCACCTTTCAAAAGTTTCCAATCAAGGATATGACATCGCACATCCACTTAATCCTATTTAGAAAAATTGCAAAGGTCATATCCTTAATTAAAAATTTTTGAAAGGTGGTAACCTTGATTAGTAAAGAAGAAAGGTCATATTCTTATTAGAAAATTTTTAAAAGGTTATATCCTTATTTGTACCAAATCGCAGGTGAAGAGCTGTAGAAACCTAACTAAGAAAGAGCAAATCAGATTTGATATACTTATACAATAGTGGTTAAAGTCTTTCATAAACAAGATAGCAACAAAATTATGGCATCAAATGAGAGTGTAACAAATTACAATGCTTCTAAATGGAAACTAGAGCATATGATTCTGCTTTTACTTTGGGATCTAAGAATAACAGCACATACCTACATGTAGGATCTCGACATTTGTAAGCAGACCCACCAAATATGTGAAAAGGAACAGAGAAGAATTCATTGTAAATCAGTCCACAATAATTGAAAAAAGTGACATCAAAAGAAGAACGTAGCGACCCCCAAATAGCATCTCCATAAAGCTCCCAAGTTTCTGGAAGTTATCAAATATGGAAATTAGGATAAATAATGACATGCTCACAATATTCACCTATTTCAGGCATATACAACCGTATGTAAATCGTGTCTCAAAAACCCAATACACTTATACACCAGTCTTTCAGTTAAAAAATGTTCAACATGTCAGAGCACTCCTCAATTACAGGAGTAGATGCCCCATTTAAGAAGTTGCACAATTCTACCATTTAAAAAAAAAAAAAAAGAACCCAATGAGAATAAAATTTGATAACCTAAACAGACCAATAGGCATAGCAACAAGCTCACTGACAGGGCCAGTTAGCAATTAGGTTAAAGTTATAAATGGCAAGAAAAATGTCCTGCTCCAAAACCATTCAGACAAAAGGACAGAAGATCACAACAGTTCATTCATGAATGCTGTTATCAGCAGACCAGAATTTGCATTATCATCACAACATTTATGTATTAATTTTGTAGATACATGGGTGAAATTAATTCGATAGATTACTACAAGATTTGAACACAGAAATACCTGAGTACTAAGCCTACTTTCCCGAGCTATAAGGACCAAAGCTCCCAGCAACAAGCATATTCCATGACCCCAATCTCCAAACATCACAGCAAAAAGAAATGGAAATGTAATAACTGTGTAAACTGCAGGATTTGCCTCTTCATATCTCGCAACACTGTCAAAATTTGTTTTCATAGTAGGGCATTGATCAGTGCTAAACGTACCAAGCAAAAATGACAAAGCTCATTTGATAAATAGCTTATCCTTGAACCATTATAATTTATTGAATTGATGTACATGTAGCATAACAATAACATAGAACACATAGGAGATATAAACTTTGAAATTTTACAAACATTCTTCACTAACGACAAATTATTCATATATGGTAATTGATTCAAGTTCCAGGGACAGAATAAATACATCTTCTAGCAATTCAACCAGTTTGAAGAACTAAATAACTAATGATGCCATAACTCACCCATATGCATCAACAATCTCCTGAAATGCATTTGTGAAGTGGTTTGTTCTGAAATATGTAGGAGGTGAATCCACGGCATCCATGACATGAAAAATTATCCCAACTTGAGAATTGCTATCAAATGTTGCACGTTGGAGTACTTCATGAATCTGTTAAATAAGAAAGCACATGTGCCTTTCACAGTTACAGGAAAATTTAGAGAGTTTCAAATTTGGATCGAATAGTAAAGAAAAACCAAGTGCACAATGTACCCATTATTCATAATGATGACACATGATAAAATACCTGAGCTTTTGCAAATATAGGACACCAACCCTCTCCAACAAGGCATTTTTTTGTAACATCAAAATTCAGCATATCCAAAATATCATAAACTGCTTTCTCCCTTCTTACCTGGGAAAGAATAAGAATCAATAGTGTTCAGTTAACAATAGAAAAGACATAAGAAATCATACTTACGAAATGTGTAGCTTAGGAGTTTTTCTCTAGTCATAATATTCACTGCTTCAGAAAAGGCAACGAAAAGAACATGCAAGTGACAGACTTGGCCCCATTATCTTACCATATATATCCATTTTGCTAGATGGAATCCAATAGAAGTCAGAGCTTTATTGCGGTGCCGACTCCCGGCATCCAAAGTAGCTTTGAATTCAGATAGACGTGACAAGACCTAGCAACCAAAACCAGAACTATTAACCAAAAAAACTTAGAATATTCATCAGTCTAACAGCATATATGAGGCATATAAAAGACAACTCAGAAAGGCAAGATGGAGCTGAGCTGTTTATGATGCTTCTTAGGATCCAGAATAACATGTCCAATAGAAAATTTAGAGTTCACATGTCAACTCTGGAAAGAATCAACAGCATATCATTTTGTGCATTATTGTGATCAGATAATGAAATAAAAAGAATCAGAATAAGATCTGATAAAAAACCATATGGTCAAAGATACAAACATGCCATGAACAAACACATCACTGAACACGTAAGCAAAGAAATACTCATGCTGCAGATGTTTCATTAATGAACACAAAAAAAGAGTATTTAACCTCTATGATGGTAAACTCACTTCTCTAGTAATTTGCCTCTGTTTAGAAATGTCTTCAGGAACAGGATAGCAATTTGCTCCAAATGCCTCACAAATTTTCAAAATCTTTGTTCTCGCCTGCTCCCCTTAGAAGAAAACTACGAACACCATTTTCTCAACCTGTAAAGGCCAATAAAAGAACATCAGAACAGTTATCAAATAAAAAGGAAAACCATGATACCAAACAACAATAATGATCTAGTCAAGAGTTAACAGATAGGGGTGACTAGAGAGAAAACCGTTTCAGTTGACAGAGGATCCATGATCTCTTCATCAACTGGAGCTTGATTAAAAAGCATGTTGCCTCTAGTAGCACGGAACAACATCCTCTCAAATCTGAGAACTTTTGATTTAGTAATAATCCCACTGATAAATCGCAAGCCAGATTGGTCAGACGATCCAGGCATCATTTCCTAAAAAGTGAATAGCACTAATATATATAAGAAAAACAAACAAACAGGTTTGCAACATAAAATAATTGAACTGCAGAAACAACAATGGATACCTGTTCAAGTAATGATGCTGTCTCACCATAATTGTCATTTGAGTATATATTTTCACTTAACTCCCTCTCCTCTACAACTGCACGACCATTACTTGACACAAGAAAACCACCTGCCTAGAATTTTCCCAAGAAAAAATATGTAAGAGAAGGCAGAGAGGAAACAAAAAAATGAGCAAAGGCTTACAGCAAAAATAATGACCAACACATGCTTTGACATTTGCAGGTGGAATTGGGAACAGTTTACATATACCAACTGTTATAAATTGTTAGTTCCTATGAACCACTAATTGCCTGGAATTTCAAAACAAGCAAAGAACTTCAATCAACTAAGATCTTAATGGCTTGTGATTTGTGAGACACCCATCTAGTCATCTACTATAGGTGCTAATTGCTAAGGCTATAACAAGAATGCATTCTTGAACCAACCTTATGTTTAAATCATTAAAACTTAAACTAATGCTTTTAATAAAGACGATCAATAATCGATAATAATGGAAACAAATTTTAAAAACAGGCCAGATGTCCCTAACATATTGATATAAAAGTCAAGAATTTACCTTTTGCAATACAATCTTAAACTCCAGCAGCTCATTATATGTTTGGCAAAGTTTTTCACTGTTAGAGTTCATTTCAATTAGCTCATGCTCATGCTCATGCTCAGCAAGTTGTATCTGAAATCAAAAGAAACACAACTGCATTACATGAAACAAACTTATATCTCCAAACAACTACATGTGCCAGGAAAAAAAAAAAAAAAAGAAAGAGGGAAGAAGGAGAAGGCCAAAAGCCACAAGGAAGAAGAACAAAAGTACTGTTCATTAGTATAAGAGCATGAATAGATAAATGAACCTCTAATTCCTCCAGTTCAATGTCTGGCTCCAAGATAGGATGTGCAGAAGACAGCAGACCGGCTTTATTGATTTGATCTTTGAAAAAGCGTAGCTTTCTTGACATCTCTCCACACCGCTTTACCTGTCAAAACTACTCACTTTTTAAAACCATTGTCAACAAAAATATATATATATATCTGAAATAAAGTTATTGAGACCTGATCATTACCAATCTAATAGTGACAAAAAAAAAAATTCAGAAAAACAGAAAAATATTCCATTTAATTCACCAGAAAACCATTCTGTGTAATACAATGGATTGTTCAAGGAAAACATAATCTAAACAACTGGCAGCTACTAATGTTTCCTCCAACCAAACACTAAACCAAAATCAGCAATGCATATTATAGTAAAAAGAGAAAGAGGCTTCAGTGATAAAGTAGCGATATACCTGATTTGCAAATGTTCGTTGAAACGGGCTCTTATCAGCATTTAACTGCCAAGGGGAGAAATATTAATGACAATTAGTATCCAAGGGGGTAAATTAATTGAAAGTCACTCATATTCATTGCATGTGTAAAGTTTTGTACAATGTAATTGCTCCAAAGACCAGTGTTGTACTAATAGACTCATTCAAGAGTTGCACATACATATCAAACTAAATAATCAGTTTCTCTTCTGAGGAAACTCAAAACCACTATGAAGCCATACAATTCAGGAGTACCATCTTACATACAAGAATCTAGAAATTCCTTAATTACATAAGCTTTTTCCCAACTACTTCCTTAATGAAAATCTATAACTATAATTCTTGATATTTAGATGCAGCAGACTCAAAACATCTCACACGAAACAGCAGATTCACTATAAAACACACTTCCCCGCCTACATTGATTAAAAACTCGATTAATAAGGTGTTCTACTTCGAACTGAATTTCATCTACGTTCCAAGCAACGAGACGAAATATATTGTTAAAAATGAAACAATTGAAAGAAGAATCAAGCGAATCTGAGTCGAGACATACATCACGGAACTGGAAGAGACCGAGTTCGCCGAGATAGGAGATTGAACGGTGAGCGGATTCGACGGGAATTATGAGCTGCACCAACGTCATCTTCTCGGAGCGCATCAGATCCATGGGCGGTAAATGGTGGATGAACTGTTCCATTTTCCTTTGTCTATTTCCCGAGAACCAAAAGGAAAATGAAAATGGAAAGTGGATTGCAGTTTTGATCTGTATCTATATGTGGATTGCACAAATTGCATGGACACTGATACTCTCAAAGATTTCATAGAACCCCTTAAGTTGCCCGAGAAGAAACTGATTATTTTTCCTGTTAACAACAACGAAGATGTGAGCCTAGCTGAAGGTGGAAGTCATTGGAGTTTAGTTGCATATTACCGTAGCAGTAATGTCTTTGTGCATCATGACAGCCATAGGCAGATGAATAAGGGGCAGGCTATGAGACTTTTTAAAGCTGTTGTCGGATTTATTACC